TTGCCTGAGCCGCTGCCCAGAGCTTTAAGCATCCCTCTAGCTGGTGCCACCGGTGCTACTGCCCAGGATCTGCATTTGAAATAGAAGGCAGTTGAAGTGCTCCCACGTCTAGGGGATCAGAAGCCCCCGTTGCTGACATGCCTCCGTAGAGCTGTGCTGAGAGGGTCTCGGGAGCCCACTGGCCCCAAGTTGTGTGTAGCGGCTCAGGTTCACAACCTGTGAACCAAGCTTGGTGGGAGCCTGGGTCTCCTTTCCAAACACCAGCATGCGTGCTGACCAGACTCAAACCAAGAAAACCCAAACTCACTGCCATTGAGGTGGATCTGACTCCTAGCGACCCCTCGTTGGGATTCCAAGGCGTTATGTCTGTGGAAGTAGATTGCCCAACCTTCCTTCTGAGGAGTGGCTGGTGGGTTTGAACTGCCAGCCTTCTGGTTAGTGGTCAGATGCCTTAGACGCTGCGCCACTAGAGTGAGCCGACTGGCCACTAGCAGAAGAATCCAAGCCGGTTGCCAGTGCGCCGACTGCAGCTCGCGGCGGCCTGTGTCAGGGCAGACCGCGCCGTGGGGCTGGCAGCCGGATGCTCCGGAAGCAGGTCAGCAGGCCTCCTTCTGAGGCGCCTCTGGGTGGACTTGACCTCCAACCTGGTGATTGGCAGCTGGGTGCTCAACTATTCGCAGCACCCAGGGACCCAACTCTGCTGTTCCTCCTTTTCATATCTCACTAGTGAGAAAGTTAGGGCCGTTTATAAGGACGAGACACGTGGACATTTGGGATTTGCAAGACTAAGCACCTCTGACTGAAAAGGGAGCACCACGTTCTGAGCACCATTATCTATTTTTCCTCCATTCAAGGAAGAAAAGTTTTATAAAAGTGGACTAGTCTTGGCTTTCCGTTTAAAGCAGAACAAAGCAGGCCTGGCCTGGGCTCCCAAATGCAAATGCGTGAGAATGTTCTTTCTTTGGTTACGTGTCTTCATGAAAACCTTCCAAGTGGTTTTTCTTACTCTGAGTCCCCTCCTCCTTCAGAGAGAGAATACTGTGGCTCAAGTCCTAGGAGGGTGTTCTAGGCCCGAGGCAATTGTGACAGGGACGGGTTTGCCTCTAGGCCATGAAAGCGAGACTTTGAGCCGAATGCCTCACAGCAGTGAGGGTCCTTATATAGGACAGCGGGCCCACAGCAGGCGGCTGGGCCCCCCAGAGGCCTGGGGGTCAGCTGGTAAGGTCTCCACACTGGGACTCTTGAGGTGGGGGTGGTCTGGATGAAAGGCCAGCTGGGCAGGTGAGCACGGCCCACCTGAGGGCCTGCGATGCAGCCGTGGCAGTGCGTGTTTGAGCCGGATACTGACAGTTTCCGAGGCATCGGCGTTGCACCCGGGCACTGTCTGCTGCTGCACCATCCGGGGAACTGCCTTCTCTGAGTGTCATGGGTTGAACTGTGCCTCCTAATCTATGTCACCTTGGCTGGGTCATGATTTTCAGTGGTTGAGCAGTTATATAATGATGCAATCATCTCCCACAGTGTGATCAGCCAACTGGTTGTGGGTATTCAGGTGGGGTGCTACACCCTTACGCAGGTCACAGCCCTGATCCCATGTAAGGGGGGTTGCCCTGGGGGGTGGCCTGCAGTACTTGTTATCTTACAAGAGACAAAAAGGGAGAAGTAAGTCGAGGGATTTCAGTACCACCAAGAAAGAAGAGAGGGAGTGGATGCGTCCTTTGGACCCGGGTCCCTGTGCTGAGAACCTCCTAGTCCCAGGGAAGATTGATGCCAAGACACCTGAGAGCTCCAAGGGACACCGGGCCCCAGATGCTGACAGGAGATAAGAAGCTGTCCCCAGAGCTGAGAGAGAGCGCCCCTAGAGTCAGTGCCCTGAATTCAGACTTCACGCCTCCTAAACGTAGCATAGTGGCTAAGGCACTTAACTGCTAACCAGAAGGCTGGCAGTTCAAACCCACCAGCCACTTCTCGGAAGGAGGATGGGGCAATCTACTTCGTAGTGATACTGCCTCGGAAACCCAAGAAGGGGTCGCTATGAGTCGGGGCCGACTCGACGGCACATAACAACAACAAACAGGGAGAATGAACCTGCATGTCAGAGCCACTGCCTGGCGGCATTTCTGCTCGAGCAGCACAGCGAGGCTGCTGGGTTTAGCCTCAGGGTATCTCCCGATGCCTGTGCCCGAAACCAAGCCCTGGGGCCTTTGTGGCTGGTGCAGGGCAGGGTCCTGCCTCCTCCTCCTCAGACACTCACACAGCTGGAGTGTGGCCGTGTGCTCACCGTGGCAGGCTGGGGCTCCATCCCTGACAGCACACACTCGCTCTAGCGGGAGCCTTGGCAGCCTTGGGACCTCACTCACCAAGGGATGGCCCCACTGCGGTTTCTGCCTGCCTGTCACTGGGGATGGTATGATGCAGGGTCTCAGCCTGGGTCCCAGCACAGAGTTGGAGGTGAGCAGGGAGAGTGAAGGAGAGAGTTACTAAGGGCCCTTGGCAGAAAGCTGGGCAGAGTCCAAGGAAGAGAGTGGGTGAGACCCTGGGCTCAGGGCAGAGATACGGTGGCCCAGTTTGCCAGGACAGAGCAGGCTCTCGGGATACAGGATTTTTCCATGAAAGGTGGGGGTTCTCAGGCAAACTAGGAGCCTGAAATGTTCTCGAGTATCTAGAACCTGACAGGGTGTCTTCCTGAAAAGCTGCTGCCTGCGTGGCAGTTCAGCCGTGAGCATGACTCAGTCAGATAGGACGTGATGTTCCGCCCTGAATGCCGGAGCGTCTTCCCAGGCTCCCGGCCTGGTGTCTCATGCTGTAACCAAGCAAAGGGGCAGGGAAACTAGATCAGTTAGAAGAGAGCAACCCGAATGGAAGTGTCCGTGCATCATGAAGACTGGAGCCAACGCCACTGGACCGCTTGTGTAGAAATTGTTGGATGGGAACCTAGACTGCAGTGCACCCCTTCACCACGAACACAGTCCTGTGTTCCCGTTGAAAAATGATGTTAACATGTTCCTGCAAATCGGATCTCCCCATGACTAGTTAGTAACAGCGTCTGGAAAAGCTGCCTCCCGTTCAGGAATGCCCAGAGTCCTTCCTTCCTCATTGGCCTCACCTGACACTCAGAGCACTGAGGATCTGAAACAGAAAGGCTGTGGCTGAGAAACAGGACTTAGGACAGTCTGCTTCTGAGGCCACAGGACCGGACCCTGTGGTGTTGGCGTGGGCGGCGGCGGCGGAGCCAGGGGTGGGCGATGGCGCTTTGCTCCCGGAGTGAAGGCAGTGGAGGTGCGGCCCTGGGCTGCTGCTCTCCAGCCACGTGCCCTGACCCGTGTTGAGAAGCTGCAGCAGAGATGGGACTGGCCGCGTCGCCCAGAGAGCTTCAGGACCTGGTCCGGGGCTCACGGCCTGCGACTAGAGTGGGCGTGGCTTCCGGGGTCAGTGCAGCTTGTGTTCCAATCCGTGTGGAGTTGGCTTGCCTTTGTGTCCACTGTTAAGACAGACAATGATCAGACAAGGGAGATAATATGTCTTTTTTATCTACTGGGACTCTAGTAGCTAGAAGGGACAGAAAACAAATCCGTACAAGCAAACAAAGGGAACTGTTGGCCCAAATAACTAAAAAGGAAGAGAAAGATTAGCTTCAGGCATAGCGTGATCTGGCTGCTTGATTCTGTCACCAGGACCCCGCTTCTCCACCCCTCTGGGCTCTGCTTGCAGATGAGTTCTTCCCTCGTGATGACAATGGCACAGCCACTGCAGCGTTTTGTCTGCAGTCGTCCGAGGCCCCGGTGACGGAATCTCTCTCGGGCTCCTTCACTGTTGTTAGTTGCCGTGGAGTCCCGTCTGACTCGTGGCGACTGCACGTGCAGCATAGTGCAGGCCACACACCTCCGTGACTGTGGGTGTGTCTGAGCCCACCGTGGCAGCCCCTGCCTGTCCACCTCGTGGGAGCTCTCCCTGGTTTCCACTGACCCTCTGCCTCAGCGGCCATGATGTCCTTTTCCAGTGGTCGGTGTTTCCTGATGACGTGTCCACAGTAAGCAAGTCGAGTCCCACCCTCTTCGCTTCTTAGGGGCCTCTGGCTGCACTTCCCATAACTGATTGGTCTGTTCTCCTGGCGTCCGTGGTAACTGATTGGTCTGTTCTCCTGGCGTCCGTGGTAACTGATTGGTCTGTTCTCCTGGCGTCC